GAGGCGGGGCAGATGCCAGCATGGGTCAGGTTTTGTTGTCTTGCAGATCTCTGAGATGTCTGCATCCAGACAAACTCAGAGCAGAGTCAGGAGGATGGCATCCAAAGTGCCCTGTCCATGAATCCTTGGAAGGAGGACGACTCAATGATTATTACATTATTCTGGGTCGGACTCTGTGGGCTGGTCAACTATTTGGGAGAGGCAATTGTGGCGACCCCGCAAATGGCACTTATCTCTCAGTTCCCAGAAGCAGTGGGAGGGACAAGCAGAGATTCACAGCGAGGAAAAGAAATCTGGAAATGCTTCACAGGCCCCCAGGCAATGGGCTGTTTGAGCAGGTGGAAGAGCCTCCAGCGCACACGGCAGTGTACAATGACGAGACAAAACAGGGGCCAGTGGTTCCTCACCTCTCAATTAAAAAAAAACACAGCAAAGACTTGTGACAGGGTCGTGCTGGGCGAGACAGAGACTTGAATTCACCTCCATGTCTAGGAGAACTCCATGAATAATGCTCAGTGAATGAGGAAATAGGAATAACAGAATCACAGATTCTTTGGGTTGGAAGGGACCTTTAAAGCTCATCTAGTCCAACCCCCCTGCAGTGAGCAGGGACATCTTCAACTAGATCAGGAAGAATACTTTATTTTCCCAGTCATGGCTACAGTAGATTGCCTCGGGCTTTGTGAGGGCTGGTTAACTTAGTGGTTAACCCAGCTCTTTGGCATGCAACTAAAATTAACCTTGCAGGAGCCATCAAACATGACAGTGATTAAAACCCTGGGCTCAGGAGAGAGGGCTGCACGGATCCCTCCCCGTACAGATAGTATCTGTAGGCTGTTGACTTAAAGACAGAGACATACTTAAGGGCAGCTGACCCTGAAAGTATGACACAAACTATTTCCAAACACACAAGATGTCTATTTAAAACCTGCCCTCTAACATAAATAGCTCTTTTTATTTGCAGGTAGCCCTCAGCCATCAGCTCTGGGCAGTGTGCCACGCTCTCAGGAATTACAGCACCTCAGGCAGTCATGTAGCTTTGCCTCTGGCACTCACCGAATAGCTTGCGTTGCCTCTTAGTTATTCTGATGCCAGCCCCTGCAGAAGTATGGGTTTATTCACCCCTGACGCACAGCAGCCTCTGGAGGGTAATGCAGCTGCTGGTTTTAAAACAGCTTTACAGAAAAAACAGAAGTAACAGACACTACCTAGCGTAACGTGAATACAGCAAATGTAATTACATCACCTGGATTAAAACTCGGCAAGGCCAGCAGTGACATTACGGTGGCAAGCAGCACCATGGGACCTTTTGTGAACACAAGTTGTTACTATGTCATTTGGTCCTTCTACCTAAATGATGGTATCTACTCTAATAAAGTTTCTTCCAGCTGCATTTCAGGAGACAGACACTGAATGGAGTAATGGTGGTTAAGCAACTGGTGAATTCTTTTCCAGGACTGACAGAGTCTGAACATTAAGAGCCTGGCCAGCTGTATTTGTCTGCTCAAGAGCTGGAGCAAAAGGTAAGGGAATTGTGCATGAACTTCTCACATAAGCAGTGTCTGCCTTGGAGGGCAGCACCACGGGAATGCTGTCTCCCAACAGAACAGGTCCAAGGGAAGCCCTGGTTTTGTGCTGCTGGTCTTCCTCCTTACAGTTGAGCCATTCAGGGTTGGAGCAGCTTCAAGCAACAGAGATTGTTGAGAGATTCCTCATCTCTCCTCTGAAAAGCCCTTTGCAGTGAAGACCTAGATTTGCAGTGCTATTCCGTAAGTGGCTGAGGAAGCTGGACTGAGCTACTGCTGCAACACAGATGGAGACATTTGTAGGTGACAAACTTGTAGATGACAGTAAATATCAGCTACTTATGGCTCTGTTTTTACTTCAAGTGATGCTCCCATCTTGTTATCCTTCTTGCTAGTAACCCAACTCTTCCCAATGTGCTGATATTTATTAAACCTGCACCTACCAACACTCTTCCTAGCCAGTGCCTCACAGCTGCATAGTGCCTGTGGGACTAACCTCAGCTATTACACCATGGATATATTCTGGCAGAAAGCTGCTGAACATCACACTGTTTGTCCTCGAGAAGCCAAGACAGCGGATGGGAGGCAACAATTATTAACATCGAAAATATCATCCACCTATTCCAAATGATAACTCTGTTAGGATCCTACACCAAGTCTGCGGAGTGTCTTCTGCTGTGGTAAATACTGCCAGTGTTAGATTTCCTGTTGCTGAGCTTACTGAGCTTCAGATCATTTTACTCACCACTAATGCAAGGAGTTTCAAGTTCTTTACATGGGACATACCTTTCATCTACCATACTGAGGGGATACCAAGAGCTGTGTCTTCTGCCTCAAAACAACCAAGACACTTTACAGCAGGCAGGTAATAACCATGAGTTAGTTTTACCTTTCAGAAAGCCAATCTAAAGTTGAAGATTGAGACTTCTATCCTTCCAAGTGGGAATTATTAAAAGTAACAGTGGCTCTACACAGCTTTGCCAGCCTGGGGCAGCACTCTGCAAGTCACTCACATGATCACTGATCTCTGACAAGATATCATAGACGCTGTTTGTTCTGATCCCCGGAGAATATCTGCTGGACAAAAAGTTGTATGTCTTTAAAGCTCCTAGTGACTAACTATGTCCTCCAGAAACACAAAGACAAATCACCTCTGGACTCTGAGGCAGGCCTGGAATCACTACACGATGGGCTTTATTGACAAGGATTAGCTACTCCACAGAAATAAAACCAGCAAATGAAGCAACAAGAAATCCTACAAAATGTAATAAAAAGCCGTGTAACAGGAACAATATCAAGAACAGAAACCAAGCAATTATACAAACAATTGATCTAGCTTTGAAAATAACCTTGTTCTGGGTAGGAGGCTGGGTTAAATGACCTCCAGAGATCTTTTCTAAATTAAATCTGTCTGTAACTCTCTGAATTTAAAAAATACAAACAATGCTTCTGAATTCTTTAAATCATCAGAAAATCAAGCACTCATCCTGAAGACATGTCCATTCCCATATCCAAAATGAAAGAGTTTGGTTTGTCAAGTTGTAACACAGAGCAAACCAAGTAGTTGGTCCCCATCATAAAGTCACTATTTGCCAGCAGTTGCCTCCTCCCTGGGATGTGAGCTCCCGATGTATCTGGAGTAGGAAATACCCTGGGAAGATGCATTTCCATTGACCCATCAGCTCTAACACCGGTCTCCTGTTTCCGCACATTCACAAAACCACTTCACATCTCCGTGCCTGCAGAAATCCCTCTGTGCATCTAAGCCTGTGTCCTCAACTGTAAAAGCTGAGTTCCTAACAGCTTTAATAACTGACAAATGTATCAATTATTTAAGCATACTTTTATCATGTGTTGCCACAAATGTTTTACCCAAAATTTTGCTCTGATGGATATATAATCAACAAACTAACTGCAGAAGATCTATCTGCAGGGATATTTATTCTCACCTTATCTGCTGTGCGTTTGTTATTACTTTACCCCATATCCAGATGCCAAGCCAACACTGTAATGTTCTCACAAATACTCCAGCAAGAATCTGAATGAAGTCATCATTAATGTACAAAGCACCAGGATTTTCAGAAAAGCAGTTAATTAAGTGCAACTGTTCCATTTCAGTCACGCTTATTTGACAGACAGTGATAATTTAGGGCCAAATTACATCCCAGATCCTGGCAAAAGCAGACAAGGGAAGAATTTGTCCCTGCTACACTCCAGCCTGACAGTCACAAATTGAATTCCCTGTGTGCTCAATGACAGCTGTGCTGAACCCTCTGTCAGTGGGAACAAGGTACGGGCCACATGCAGGTTAACACCTCGCAGAACAGACAATTCTGCTGAAATCAGTAAGATCGTTTTCAAAGCAAGTCTGCACTGGAGTAACAGAATTGGGTCCCAGCTCAAAATTATCCTGTGACTTTCTTCCCTCCATGGGCAAGGTGTGTTATCTCTTGGCAAGCTGAATTTAGCTCCATCCTTTAAAGCAGCTTCTACTTCACTGTCTGATTGGTAATGGCAGTGAAAGAGGAACTGTGAAATGAACTGTCCCTGACGGTGCTGGTACTTCCAAGCCCTGAGGACAGGTTAGATACAGCTTTCTTAAGAAATGACTAGGGTGAAGCTAAGCTGGCTTGGCCTTGCTGCTGTGCTGGTAGTTGGACCGGACGATCTCTCTGGGTTCCCCTTCAGCCTTGTATTTCTGTGACTTCACAGTGACTACTGAAGAGGGGTTTAGAAGTTTCCACCCCTGCAGACCAATACTATAGTTGGTACTATGGACTCCTTTGCACTTGAGACTGATAGGTCAATTACAACATGCAGCCACGTGGCGTAAGGAAAGGCTGGGGCCAGAGAGACGTTTTCCCCTGGCTTTTGCAATACAGAGGAAGAGATATTTCCATGTGGAGCCTGAAAGAAGATGGGACAAAGCCTTCACATCATTTTGTCAGGATGACAGGCACTCAGCTATGCCAACTTACCCCTCAGAGCTACGGGGGGAAGAGAGCCAATAGTCTGCAACATGCTTGAATTCCTGCCACACGTAAAAGAGAGCAGAGAAGGCTGCTAGAATGCTCTTCCTCCATGCTATGATGCAGCAGGAGGAGGAAAGGGCAGTTTTCATCCTGCTATACTTGCTAAGCGTAGAGAGCAAGCCATGGTCTTCCTCATGGAAACCATCTCCTCAGCTTTGAGCACCTTCTCAATTATGAGTTGTTTTGGTTGGACTTTACACTACCGTTCTATCATAAATGGACCAGAATAGATTAAATAATGGCCAGTGGAAGCCTGATCCGGACATGAACACAAAATACAGAGATATTAGAGAACATAATAGCAAGATTATAAGCAATCTTGCTTATAATATTGATATAATACTGATATTTTTCCATATCAGTAAAAAAACCTTCTAACAATCAATTATCCATTTATTCAAGCATATATCACTCATTTGTTAGCCTTCTCTAAGCTATTTATGAATGAGATTTTCTGCAGCATGACCTTTATTCTACCTTCTGACACCATGGGTCGAACTGAGAAGCAGTGTTTGCAGTCCACAGAAATCAGGTTCTTTAAAGGGATATTGCCACGATAAAGCTTACCTGAATTTTTTGATTGGAGAATGCTTTTCCTGTGCGGTTGCAAGGTGCCCAGAATAATAAATGGGAAAAACCATAATGTTCCAGTTTGTTGAGAACCAAGTCATGAAAAAAGGACAGTCAAAGGTCTCATACGTGATTTTGACAAACTGCGTGGTCCCGACCCAGGAGGAAGAGACGGACAGAATGATCAGAAATCTCCAGATAAGCTTCAGAAATGTGGATGTGCAAGACTGGCATCGAGTCTGTCCTTCAGCTTCTTGGCTGCTGCTCTCTGTATGTGTTTGTGTTCCTTCTTCTCCTGGGAAAAAAAAAATAGAAAAAGAGAGAGTTATACACCTAATGAACACATTTAAAACAATTCTTGCCTTCTCCCTGTAATTCCTCTATGCCCCAGAAACACTGAAATCCCCCACAGAAATACTTCAGTAATACCATTGCTGTCATTTCAAGGGGATAGGAACAAACCACAAACACAATAGCAGAGGGCTGAGGTAACAGTGTTACGGTTAAGCTATTGCCACTGTTTGCTTTATCAGCCCTTCTTGCCTCATGTCAGCCAAACCTCCAGAACAGAGCTACGTCCCTTGGAACCAACTACATTATAAAGTCAATTACTGTGCATGTGTGCAACATAAAAGCTATCTGAGCCTGTATATCTGAAGCCAGAAGCAAATTCTTATTATTCAAGATTTTAACTCAAGAATCACTTTTTTTATTTGCAAGCTGGGAGGGGAAAAAGAAACAGTCTAGTGGTTTTATATACCCAAGCGTAGAAAAGCTTTTTTTCAGTCAAGTTAGTGTATTTATATTTTTGAAGTTAAAAAAGGAAACTGGACAAAACTGAAGCTTGGTTTGCCGAGAAATAAACCTCTACACATAAACAAGGAGGAATAAGAAAGTTGTCATCTCCCATTTTAGCACAGTACTTTTCAGATCTAATCTGCAAACCACTTCAGATTTCCTATCAGAAGTGTGGACTGTGTAGAGAATTTAATCTTACTGACTGATGACTTGCTCTCCAGACACATCTTCCAGAGATGCAACCCATGAACTCCCTTTTGATTTCACAGATTCCAGCTGAGAACAACAGATTGAACTGCGCTGGACACTGAGGAGCACCACACTGTTGCCCCATGAGCTCACGTGGCAGCACGGAGCTCCAACCATCTACCCCATCAGACCATATCACATCAGTCTGATGGAAGAAACACGAGTTCCTTCTGAAAATCATGACCTGCGGCTATTCTTAACTATTACTATCGATTAGCAGCTGCATCAACACATGACGTGATATACTATAAGAAACAATATAATTGTTGATGTTAAGAAGTGCTGTAGAACCACTGTAGTGACAGCATACGCTCTCCTACATTCAATTTAAATGTGAAAAAGGTACCCTTTCAGACTCAGGTTTGAATTTCCTTTTATATTACTGTTTCTACTACAGCCATAAAGAAATGTCACACTGAGATTCCAAGTTATTATGTTAGACCAATATTACATCTAAAAACCAATTCTTCATAGCAGGGAGCGCATTTGCAATCAAGAATTTTCCTAACCAGTACATGGAGCTTTTTGTAGTTGTAATCGTAGGCTCTATTTTTTCTCCTAAAAACACTCAGTATCCAGTGGCCCTGTTGTTTAGTGGTCAATCAAGAATCTAAATAAAATCACAGGTTTATTAAAAACATGCAGAGGATAATCATAGGCAGCTCTGAAAAGGCAAGCATCGTTTTAGCATTCTCTTTGGCTGTTGGGAGAAAATAGGTATTTTTATGGTTCTAATAATGACTGACATCCTCTATTAAAAGGTAAATTACAGCTTATTTGCAAGTTAGAATGGTTTAAAAAGAATATATTATGTAACATCCACTTGCAGGGTTTCCTGCTAAGCAAAACTACTACGCAATTAGTCCTTCTTCAGCTAACAGTTAAAATAATCATACAACGATTGAAGACTAAAGCACCTTTATCCACGCTTTCTATTTTTCAATTATCAAATAACTATGTAATTGCTGTTACTATGCATGACGCTACCATTAGCATTTGACTTGGATTTTACAGTCCCAGGTTTGAATGTAAGGGAAAGGCACAGAAAGATGCACTTGTTGCAAGTCCTACCTTGGATTAAAAGACCCGTGTAAGATTCAGCCTGATTAAATGTACAGTTGGGAGTTTTTGTAAGTGCTTAATGGGTAGGATTCATCCCATGTAATGTAGTTAGCAAATAATTGTGTATTCAGACTAAACATGTTGTCTAGGGCCCCTTTCTACTTAACGATAATGCACAGGCATGGTGAGAAGGCAGCTGATTTCATCCGCATATATCTAAGCCCACTGGAGGCGCTTATCTCTCTCTGGACTAGATATTTACATTTGATTTAAGCGAAATCGGGATGGATCCCTGGCCAAAGTGTCATAGTAGCTTGACAGTTGCTTTCAAAATCCATGGGATGTGCACACCTAAATCTTGGCCAAAGAATCAAATGGACAAGGTAAGCAATATCTTTTAAAATAATTACAGGACTTGAACTCAAAGACACATGGAGAGCAGGCACACAATTCATACGAAATAGGTTTAAGGATTTCCAAGTCATGAAGCTGGAGCTAGACTAAGCTAGAAAGTAGCTCTTGTGTTCAGATACCAAATTATATGCTAATGAGGAGAAAAAAAAAGGATCAGCCAAAGTGGTTGGTAGATAGCATTTTACAGTTAGCAGGGGTGATACAAATCCTTGGTGTCTGCACTTAGTTCGGTCCGAAACAAACCAACAGATTTATCCTGTCAAGAGCACGGAAACAACCTGAGAACTCAACAAGGATGAAATGACAGGCAAAGAATGCGGATGACACGGCAGATGACACATGGAGATAACACTGGTCAATGGCAAACTGTCTTGAAAGGCAGCTAGCAGAAATACCACTGCGTGGTCCTTTTGTCTGCAATATAATGCTTGCTTGTGGTGTCTCTGTGACAAGATGGTAACAGAAAAGCCTTTTGCTTTTGTTTTTCAGAAGAGTCAGATGGGGAAAACCAAAACCTACAGATTTTCTCCTGAACTCTTTTGACTGTTTGGCAACTACATCCTAGAAAATAATATTCTTTATATTTGTTCACCTACCTGTCAGGCCAGCCCTACTTAGACCTCACTGATGAGGAAGGGAAGATCAGGATAAAAAAGGAAATTAAAAAATGCAAAACAAATGTTTAGAAGAGTATGATGTCAAGGCAGTACTCTTTTCTCAAGGGGACTAAAGTCCTTTCTCAGAGAAGATGGATTCTGATTTTGGATGCACCCTAGTGCCAGCATGCACAGAGTTATTTCAGCCTGGTAACTGCAAAAATTAGAATAAATCGGTTTACTGGTATCTTAGGTATGATCTTTACTGCAAAATGCTGTATCATCCACTCCTTGCTGCAATAATCACCTCCAATATTTTTCTGAGGTTTTCCATCAAGAGAGTACTCTCGGAGTATGAGATCCCTTCATTTTCCAACACAGGAAGAAAATGGCTGACTCTTGTTGCCATCAGTGGTGAAGTGACAAGAGGAAGGTTCATCTCCCACAGATCCAGCATGCAAGGGAGATCCAGCCTGTTCTTCCTCCCCTTTCTGCTCACAGTAGCTACACAGACAGTCTTCCAAAACACTTGGACGGTTAAATTATTTCAGTCACTTAATGATTCTTTCCTCCTCAACAGTACAATTCAGCAGACTCAAAGGTCTGTGGTTGCATATTGTAAGTGCTCCCATCCCATCCCTGCTGGTGATGGATGGACATCATGGTGGAGAAGTCCCTGTTCACCACACCTACAGGTTCATTTGAGCTAAACTTCTGCAGTAAAGTGGGTGACATATTCCTGATGGAAGCCCTGATGTGCAGCCGATCAATGATCTGAACTATGATGGTCTTCCCTAGATAGCCTTCCACCTGTTGCTCCTTCTCTTGCTCTTCATCAGACCATCCATGGTATGAGCTGAGATTGTCATTCTCTTTGAGAAGGAACATGGCTGGCTCTTAAGCGTCCTGGTCTCTGGCCAGGCTGAAGCTGATGAAACATAACCTCTCTGTAAAAACTAACTTGCGTGCTAACGTTAATCATCCTTTCAAGATCTTCTGTGCCTACTGGCCTTACGAATTCTCAGATATCTAATACATTACACGTTCCTACTGAGGCCCAGGCCTTTGCCTCCCATCCTCGCCTCCTTCCCACCTAACCCCAGTTTGCACACAGGTACAGGAAGGACTTTCATGTGGCTTTGCTGTTCGCAGCACCATAAACCAACGTCAACATGCTCAGACTCTGCACCATCTTTCAAATGACAAGACGAAAGAGGCCTTTCGCAGGCATGCCGCGATGCCGGGAATGCGGCTGTTATGCCTACCTGATCTGCTCTGCCTCTCGACTCTGCTGTGCCGACAGATTCCCGAGGGACTTCGATTCTGCAGCTCAAGAATGGGAGCAGCAGAATCTTCAGCAACAGATAGAGGGGAGAGCTGCCTAGTCATGCCTCTGTGTCTGCTGGGGCAGTTGCCTCCTGGCTTGCATTGGATGACAGATGATCGTGAGGCACCTGAGAAGAAAGAGTTTGCATCAGTTTGGCTGTAAACTCCCTGGAGGAAAGCGGAGCTTTCAAACACTGTCAGTGAAATGCATACAAACGATTCAGCGGGAGAAAGGAAGCACACTGCAAAAAATCAAGGTTTCAGCTCTGGTCAGAATAAAGTAATAAGTAAGTAAATACTTAAGTCTCTCCCCCCTTATAGACAAAGAAGTGCTCTATGAAAACCAGTCTTTCCCCTGAAGAAATGAGAGCCCTATGCTGCAGTATATTCTTAGCCCCACGGCTCCATCCATAGGGTCTGAACAGGCAAAGGAATTTATACTCACGTGGGTCCCTTCCTGAGCACTGACACTGAATCAGGCAAAAGGAGAGCTCACCATTCTCCCTTAGGGTAGAAAGGGGGGCTGAGGAACTACCACCTCCCGGGGTCAGTGCTTGAAAGCCTCTCCAGAGGAGAGCTGCCTCTTTCCATCCTCCAGAATGATCCTTGAGACTCTTGTATGGAATGAAGCCACAGTCACTGAGAGGTCTTTTGGATGAAGACTTCTGCTAAACCACTGAAGGTGCCAGTTTTAAGCCTTTACATGCACCAAATCAGAATCTTCACATCTTCAGAGAAGTTGCTTTTTCTTCTTCTGCTAGGTGCAGACAACACCAAGATGCTGCATTTCACATGGAAGCTGTGTAGAGGCACAAGGCAGCAGACAAGACCCAGGTCCCAGAAATACCAGTGGTACCAGATGAAAAATGTGCCAGTGAGTAGGACACCACATTTTAAGAGTAAGAGCTTGAAGGACTGGATTAAGAACCAGCAAACAACAGAAAAGAGTGTGGTGCTGGAATGTGACAGAGTGTGCCTGGTGATCTTGCACGTACTCCCAAATTTATTGAAGGTATCTGTGTAAGAGGTCAACACATGAGCAGCACAAGACAGTCCTCTTCTCAGTCAGAAAGTCAAGACGACAGGGCCATTTTGGTAACTATAAATGTGTGTTCATGGTCAGCTGAGATCACCCACCACTTGTTTTGCAGCTGCTACTTCAACAGGTGACCATCTTACCTAAACTTAGGGAATATACATATACCCAGAGCAGCCACTGACCTTGCCATGACATGGAAGGATTTAATAGGATAATCACACCTATTTCACATTGAAAAGAATAAAAAAATAGACACAAACTCCATGTGTAAGGTGGCAAATGTGCAACAAATATGGCAGACATCTCAGAGGACAATATTCTTCGTTGCAACATGAGCTGTTCCAGTACACTTTGTGCATATAACTCCATGGCAAACAACAACATAAAACTATATTCTAAAGCAAGGATTGTGTTCAAGATTCAAGAGACTGTATGAATCAAGTCAACACTTTTTTGCCAGTGGAAGCTAGGGTTCATATAACCTTCAATGAACTTAAAGCTATGTTTGATTCACCATGTCTAACTACAAAGATTGCAAAGGAAGAGATGTATAGAATACGGTATTATACAGAAAAATCCTCTTTCAGCCTATTCAGAGCCTCCAAGGTTAGTTTTAAACCACCAAGTAGACCAGTGACTGAACCAGCACCTAACACCCTAGAGACGATCTTTCTCCAAGATGCTCTTCCCTTTCTCCTCTGTCCAGTATGAGAGAACTTTGACACAAAGGGGACACCCAAGTCTAGGTTTCACCTTGCCACGAAGTCCTACAAATAGAATTAATGCAGTGTACAATGTACAGTCTGACAATAGAGCCACAAAGGTCGATTTAGAAAAATTAAGACCTATATGATGTCTAAGCACTATATTGCTAGTGTCTAAGCACTCAGAGTGTCTCTCCTCACTTCTTGGTGCACGTTACCCTCCACAGCGGATTTTAGAGCTTACTGGATGTTTTCATACCTTTAAAAAGCCATTCACCTCCTTATATTTACTTTTTAATGGAGAAAAGAATGATCTAACAGCCACACAAACCCCTCCATGACTTTGATCCACTCGTTTCATAACTCCAAGCCTTACTACTTCCACTTATCAAACACTTATCAAGGGTAATATCACCTACTTCACAAGACTTTGTAAACATCTTGCAAGTCACTCTGAGGTTGAAAAGTACAGTAGAAATGGCAGCCCTGGGCCATTCACCTCACAAGAAGCAGCGTAACACCTTTATTATATGACAGCTGAAAGTTAGGTCCAGCCTCCATGAGATTAAGACAATCAGTACTTTTTGGGCTAAATATTCAAAAAGGCACTGACAATTTTTCAGGTCCCCAACTTAAGGAATTTTTATTTTCCAAAAGCATTTGCTGACTGCCTGTCCTCAGAGAATCAGCCACAAGGTGCCTCGACCTAAATCACTACTCACTTTGATATGCATCACTTAAAGAGATTTCATTAAGTTGAAAGACACATGCTACATCTCAATTCAGATATAATTTAGATCAAGATCAAGATTACACTCAGCAGAAGTCTAGCAGATGATCTGCAAACAAAATTTCAAGGAAACCTATTTTTCCTCACATGCAAAAAGAGCTCCGAGTTATTTATATCTGGTACAACAAAGCAGCATCAATCTTTTCCTGTACGTTGGAGAAACTCTGCAGTTGAGACCAAGACTGCAATTCAAGAGACTGCATTTAATCAAAAGTTACTGCTTGATTTCCTGAATTCTTCTTCCCATGTGCTTGAAAGCAATGACATAGCATAGCAATTTGTCAATATTTCATTGTTGTAGCTAGAAAGCCTGGGCCATCTAATGCTACTGCATCTGAATGTATCTTAAGGATATACTTTGACAGGGAAGGTGAATAGATACATGCTAGCCTAACTTATATCCAAACCTGGTACCAGCAGCAAGGACAACAAATCACCATTTATGCAGCACAGCAATGAAACCTCACACGTGTGCAATGTTACCCCACGCGAGAGGAAGGAAAGGCAGAACTCACGTAACTCGGTCCCTTGTCTCACACAGCAATTACCAGCTACCAAGCAGGGATCCACCAAGACCCTCCAAATTCAGAGGGATCAAGAGCAGCATTTTCCATTGAACTTCCATATACCTTCATAAATCCCACATGCTTATGGAGACCTCATGGTCTTAGGCAGAGAGGACAGAGGGAGGACAACAGGAGGGTGCTGCTACAACTTGCCATGTGCAAATGGAGAAGTAACTACGTACTAAAAAGGTACCGTAATACACCTCCTCCACAGCAAAGGAGGAGTGATACTGCCTGGGTCAGATTCATTTGACTTATTTTAGATATCAAACTTAGGATGAGAAAAATAGTGCCCTGGGACTATCTGCATCTCCCTGTGACTATACAGGGAATAATGGAATCACAGAATGGTTTGGTTTGGAAGGGACCTTTAAAGATCATCTAGTCCACCCACCTGCAATGAGCACAGACATCTTCAACTAGACCAGGCTGCTCAAAGGCCCATCCAGCCTGACCTTGGACAACCATCCTGAGCAGAGATATTTACACTGGGTGGAATTTTTTTACCTGACTACTTTACCTGACCTTCTTTTAAACCTGACTACTCGATGTAAGAAGTTGCAAGAGATGCCTGTAACTCACTGTGTACAGAAGCCTCACGCAGTTTCTCTAGTCAATGCCAAGACGAACACAGTTTGTGGCTTTAGCAGAGATGAATCACAGGCTGAGAATGAATCTACATTTTGGGCATCATTTGGTATTTTAAGGGAACGCTACTGGAAGAGATTGGGAAAAAAATAACAAACAGGAAAAACCTTGCCAGACTGCCAAATCTTGCTGCTAGAAATGTTCCTTCATTATTTGGAGGTTATAATTGAGTTTCAAAGCAACACTCAGTCCATGGGATTGACAAAGGAGAGAAGGGAGAACTGGAAAGGACCACACATGATTGTATCAAGAACTTCTTAATGAGTCAAATCCATCTGTATGACTTTTCATTATTGGATAAAAACAAACCCTGCTCTTTCCCATTTTTTAAGATTATTTTTAGTTTATTATTCTGTTTCAACAAATCTTTTTCCTTGCCCTGGAAATGTAGATGCTTTATAGCATAAGAAGTAAAGCCATTTCTCTGCACATGGAGACCAAAGGGAAACCAGCAAGTGGAACCTGTGGCTTTCCACATGCTTCTAACAAAGTCTGTCCTTCTCTTGCATTAATTATTATATACTTATTCTGGTGTACTTCAATTTAGCAAGGTAATTATGCTTGTGACTAACCTAAAGCACATGATTAATATCACTTAAGTCCATGCCTTTTCACATTCTTGAACACCATCCTAAGTCCCAGCTGCAGGAGGAGGTGACCACCACGTGCTGCTGCCGCCGTGCCCATTCAAACCAGGAGCCAGCAGCACATGCCTTGTCCTGACAGCCATTTTTAGCACCCATCTGTAAACCATGCACAGCTCCCTGGCCCCTCTGAAAGATGCGACACATAACTTGTGGCTTTTAGTTCATGCACAGATTTCCATATGCAGCTCACACAGTGAGAAAATACGTCCTTGCCTTGGCTAGAAAAACCCCTGTTATTTTGCAAGGGGCTTGGAGAGAAGGGATTATGCTTTAAGGTTCAAAACCAATTATTTTCAGATTACTTTCATGTATATGACATATTTAGCATGTGACAGCAGTGCTAAATATGTCATATACATGAAAAACCAGACAGGAATACAGAAAAAACCCATGTCTGTTTTGTTGGGGACAACTCTTCTGGTCTTAGAGTGTTACTAAAAATGGATCGAATGAGCTGCCACTAATCAATGCAGCATAAAAATGCAGCCCTGGACGTAATTTTTGTGGCCAGGTCATCATAGAATTGATTTTTTCTTTTTCTTTTCTTTTTTAACAACTTCCCTGATGGAAATTTAGTACCTCTAAACAGGTAATTGAATTCTTTTCTGAAAGCCATCTGTAAATTCATGACATTGGATTTACCAGCATGAAGTGTTGTCTTATTTAGAGACAGCAACATCTGGCTTGTTGGTATGCACCAAAATACATACTCCTTTTTTTTTGATTACACAACT